ATGTTCCATCCCACCTGATACAATCGAGACAATCTTTCTAAAAGACAAACTCCACCTCAAACAGAAATTAAGAGATGAGAGACGCTGGCCTATGTTGTGCCAGAGGTTAGACAAAACGCTTGCCACGGCCCCATCTACCCTGGGTATCTCTTCACACAAATTATCTCTTGACTTTAGGATGAAGTAGCTTTACTGCCATCAGCCCCGCATGGCCAGGACACACCTGGAAGAATAACTAGCTCGAGAAGGAACAGTTAACTGCCTTTGCTTACAGAGAAACAAATGGGCACTAGGAAGGCATCGACTGCTACTGAAGCCCAAGGAGAATCACAGACTAATCATGACTCCCTCCTGCCACCTTCTTTCCAAGGGGAAAGGATACCAAAACCAGTCGCTAGCACTCCCCACCTGCAATGACAGTACCTCTTGCACTAGCTCAGCTGTGCTGACACGCTAGGAAATGCCCCTCCAAATTCTGACTGTTCTCCAAAATGCCTCCTTCCAGCTGTAACTGCAGGAGGTGGTGCTCACAGTTCCACACCTTCCACGTCTGCTGTATTTCAGTATGTAAAGGAGGTCGTATTAGATCTCGGGTCTGGTCTTCTATCGCCAGAGCGCTGCGGGTGCCTAAGGAATTCAGCCCTATTACTTAAAAAACTAGTAAAAGTCACTTAATTCTGGTAGTGATCCCGCTGGGTGAATAGTCCCTATTTGTCCATGATAAGATTTGGAAGGAAAGAAGTCATACTGATGTGAAACGCATCTGAAAATCACTAGCAACCATCTCCTCTGTAATCTTGTGATGTGAAAATGGCTGCCTTTCGGATTTAGAAACCAGAACAAATTGATCATAAAGATAACTTCTTGCTTAGTTTCTCTCTGGAATAATCTTTTCCTATGCAGACATATACAGATGTTCAGCCATGAAACACTACCAGACCTAACGCCGTACCAGGACTGGCATAACAGACTCTACTCAGGGAACCGAGAACTGGCTCTCGGCGTACCAGAGTCTGCTCTAGCCAAGTGGAATAGTGTCCCTGGTCATTCGAATTAGACATCTCTGAAAAAAATAGCTTGGTATTTAATTGCAGGGTTGGCAGGTGCTTCCATGATACATAGCGTATGGAATAAAATTACAGGGACAGTATCAGCGAGTAATAAGCAGTATAGACAGTTAGCAGGAATTAGCCAAGGATTTAGAGCAAAAAGCATCATGGGGTACACAGAGTGCTTTCTGTATTAGTATTATCTCTGTGCACACAGGACAGTACTTGTTACAAATACCTGAATGAATCATCTAATGGCTGCAAATGTAGGACACTCAAGCACTAGCTGGGGTCCTGTGCTCATGGAAACACTGCTGAGGATTTAGCTTATCTCTCAGAAGCACAGAGCTTCTGAACCTCCATATTTCTAGAATACCTCTAGACGCCGGAAAAAAAAAGCTGGAAAAAGCCGAAGAGCTGAAATTGCAACTGAAGAGTTTTAGATGCAATGAAAGAATTCAATTTAGCTTAGGATGCTAATTTTTATTTAAAAGCTGCATCAGGCTCAGGCTGCACTTCATAACAGGGAGCACTGTTATGGGCTAGAGTGTGTGCAGCCTTCTGCTCGTGGCAGTGCAGGCCCCAAAGACGTGCTAGGATGAAGCCAGTGTGGGTGTGATAGAAATGCTGAAGCTGTGTCTGAGCCTCACACCTTATAAATCTCAGTAATCCCTGGAGAAGGAAGGACGTGACATTTTCTGGGGAAGCTGGAAACTCCCCAGAAGGTTTCCCTCTTTCCAGACTTCCATGGGTTGCAGCTTTGTGCTATTAATTCATATCCATATAGCTTTTTTCTTCGCATGGAAGGGAGAAGGTAGGCAGTGTTTTACGCAAACCTCATCCAGTGGTGCCTCTGCCAGGCAACAAGCTGCAGGGATTTAGGACTGAGATCACCCTAGAGAAACTTCAGAGCTTTCCTTAGAAAGTAAAGGCTCTTGCTCTTCCTTAATTCCCTGACTTCAAAGCCCAAGTGTGACGAGGCTCACGATCTCCCTGCTTTCTTCCTGCAAACTTTTGTCCTCAGTAGAGCTGCGCTGCTGGGAACACTCAACTAAAGCCGTCAGTACAAAACAGCCAGAGAAGGAGCGCGATACTCTGCCATCACATAACTCAACTCTTTCTTCACTCAAACTACAATCAGAACAACTACGATGTGTTTTTCATGCTTCTGATCTCTGAAAATGACGTGAAGATCATGTAGCTCGTCTGTGTGTTTTACTTCACCAAATTGCCTAGCCATCTCCCTGTGAAATTTAATTTGCCAGACACAGGGAACAGAAACTACCTAAGCTATATCAATTCATTTGGCTGTAGCAGCCCCATAATGAGTTTGTGTAGTATTAACACTCGCTACACCAAACAAGGATAAATCACAAACTATCCAAAGGAAACAGAAAGACAGAATCAGACAACTGCAGATAGAGAGCTCCGAGAGCATTTCCATTCTGTGTGATTCTTGTAGCTGACATCCATCTGTACTGAACTATGCACAGCAGATGCACTGTTACCTTAAAGGAGCTAATGAATATTTTGTTTTATATCAACGTGTATCTTTACTGGAGGAATAGTTCATATGCCAAGAACCCGAGTGCTTCCGAAAAACAACAGACAAGTATGTAGCTTTCTGCACAGAGAGGAAACAAATGTACTACATCCAGAAAAAAACCTCTCTGCAAAGGAAACCAGGAATGCTAAGATGCTATGGGGCTTTCAACCTGGCCCCAAGCCCCTCCAGAAACAAGGTGCTGGGGCCTTCCTGCAACCTAGATGTACTTGCCTATAGGGCAGTACTAGCAGTACATTTAGGAGATGCAGAGTTGTTAGCAAGCAAAGCTGAGACTGAAGCCAATCTGAGACCTGGACAACTGTCAGAAGTTCTACTGGTAATCCTGTTAAGGGACAAGAGTCAGTCTCCAACGCTAGCAGCAAGTGCTATTACAAATCAGGTGGCAATGGCAACTTGTTTGCCCATCTCTTCTTTTGGCCTTAGAAACGACTCCTCTGTAAAGAGGCTCCTAAAATAAAAAAAAACTCTATAAAGATGAAGTGGTGCAAAAATACAGAGCTGGGTGCAAGCTTTCTGTCCTTCCTTTGCCCTTTCCCAGGTCAGAAAACTCGGCTCAGAATCTAAAAACTTTTGACAAAGGGTAACTCCAGATTTAAGTGTTAGACTGTCATATGATGCCAGAGAAAAATTCCCAGCAGTAGGAGTTACTGAAAGAAGGATACACTCTCTCTACTGTCATTAAATTGAATTGCAAAGCAAGGCTCCCACTGACTTTAGTGGTACAAGATCACAGTCTCAAACCAAGACAGGAAATTGTGAGCTGCAGAGAGGAGACGTCACATCAAGAATGTGATGGAGCCGCTCTCTGTGTGGGAAAATAGAGGCATGGGGTCTCTTTCTGCAGCTCTGCTGACTTCAAGGGGATCACATGTATGCAAGCAGCTGTAACAGTGTCATTTAAAGTCAGGCAAAGGCTGTGAGAAAGTAACTTGAATTTTATAATAATAATAGTAGTAGTAGTAATTAAAAAAAAGCTTATGTTTGCTTTCCATGAATATCCTAGTGAGCATGCTGGCTGCCCAAACAGCACATTTTAAATAACCCTTTTAGAATATTTACTCTAAGAATTTTGTTAGAATTAATTCCCTCAGCTCTAGTGGACTCTCTGCTCAGCTGGCACTAAAGACACAGGGCAGAAGGAACTGCTGAAAAGGCAAGTACATTTTCTTACTAATCCTTTCTCCTTTAAATGTGCCCCAGTGTTTCCAGCAAATATGGGAGTGAGATAAATACAGCAAACATTATGGGTCTGACTCTGCTCTCTGAACCATATGTGGGTGCAAATGGTAGTACTCCACTGTGTAAAAGTAATCTACAGTGATTTACATCAGCGTGACAGTGCGCACCTTTCAAAGGTAACTATTGTCGTTTCCTTCTTTTCTCAGGAGTTGGCAGCAGAGGAAACACAACCTCTCCAGGGACAGCTAGGAGTAAAACTGACTTATTTCAGATCAGCATCAACACTAAAAATTAACTCTTGTTGCCATAAAGAAGAATTTTCTTGCTTATTGCTAAATCATGCATCATCCCCTCATGCATCATTCCTTCACTGCCTTTCAGTGATGCAGGAAAAATGCTACAGGAATCCAGCCTAGGCAGTGGGAGTACAACCCAGCCTCTGGAGCTGTCAGTAGTCAGAGGATAAAGACACTTCAAGAAAGTAACTTACCCTACTGTAAATGTCTAAGCAGGCAGCAATAATCACCCACTGGACGCACCCGCTCTTCTCCAATGACATGAAATGAAGTCTAGATGAAGAGCTTAGATTATATCCCTATCCTTTTGCGAGCTGAATTCCACCTGAATGCTCTCTGTGCATCAGCTCTGCCTGTAAAATGAGGAGCATTTCCTCCCCTGACAGGGACGTTACAAAGATCAACATGCTAACATCGCTGATGGGCTCAGTAAAAACACGTGCTTGTGAAGGAGGCGAAAGCATCACAGACAAACAGGAAAAGGGGCTGAAATCTGGCTCCAGACACAAAAGCAGCGTTATCCATATATTCCAGCTGCCCTCAGTTACCCCAGTGCCAACCCTGTCAAGACAAAAGGATCGCGGGGATGGGAGAACCGGAGCTATGCCCTTCCTGGCCAGGATGGTAGGCAACTGAGAAACAACACTGCTGGACTGCACAAGCCTCAGCTGTGCTTTCAGGACAGGCAGTTCAAGTGGAGCCTTTGCTCACTCAAGGCTGAGCTAGTAATTTAGAGTTCACTGAGGCACGATGAACAGGGAACCCAGTGACAACATTTTTACAGTCGCTCTCCTTACAATGGGAGCTTGTAATTCCCAAGGCAACTCTGGCCTGTGTTTGATTAGTGTACTTAAATCTCCACCTGTGTTTTTATAATAAGCAGTATTTTCTGTCAGAGCTTGCTCTTACCCTGTTGGAATCAACTCTTGTCCTGGACGTGTAGATGGGAGGAGGGATGTTGAAGGCTTGAGGAACAAGATACTCTTCAGCATCCATCATATCTTCCAGGTCTTCCTCATCGAGAAGGTTTTGGAAGAACTTGCTGTCATTCGGGCTTGGGAGCTTCATACGATCATCTCCCTAAATAGGTTGTATTCAGAGAGGAAAAAAGTCAAAAGATGGATTAATTTCCCAACAAGGAACCTAAGCCTTTTTCATGCCCTGGCATCAAGGCTGCAGGGATCACACATGCTGCTCTGTCTGTTCTAAAACACCACATCCACATCATTTGTTTTGATTTTTTTTTTTTTTTTTAACTGGGAATATGATGACAGAAAGGGAATAACGGCATAAATCAAGCAAAGCCTTTCTTGTTTTTGCATTCTTGTGATAGAGATCTTCTCTCTTTTTCCCATACAAGCTCACTTTCTCACCCAAGTTCTGTCAAGGCCTGATGTATTTTGTGAAATATCTCAGCTATCTAGGCTCACATGATGGGTCGAAATAACATGGAAACTGCTGTGTCTCGGTGTTTGCTTTATTTTCGTTTGTATTTTTAGAGACTTGGGGGCTAAATTTCCCTCTCATCCATGTGGAAAGTTCTGCAGAATGTAACAAAGCTGAAAGCAATAACAATCAAACCAGGCAACAACGGCCAACAACAACGACACGTATTTTTATTGAAATAGCATCTACGAGCCTGAGAGGTAAATCAGAGCTCACTTTGCTTGGTGCCACAAACATCACAAAATGCAGCACATGCCCCAACCACCTAACAGCCCCTAGAAACGATGCTAAACGTAACTGCATGGCTAAAGAATGGCCTCCCAATCTGCAAGAATTATTACACCACGCGTGGAAGCCAGCAGGGAGCGATGGCTGTGCTACAGGGTGCACACAGACCAGTTTAAAAGCTCAACAGCACGCTTGTCGTTCCTGATTGCTGCTGGGGAGGAGTGGGGAGTCACAATGGCAGAGACATCTGTGCAATGGAGTTACCTTGGTTTCTCCTCAAGAAGCACATGGCCTATATTGCCTGCAAGGATCATCGGAGAAGAACGAAATACCCAGCAGAGTGTACAACAGGAGAGGGAAGGGGAGGGGAAAGGGAGGGAAGAGGTATTTGGAATAGGGAAACGTGTCCTATCTAACAAAGTAATTTAATCAGACTCATTTTTCCAGAATTACTTGCATCAGCTGAACTTAGAATTCAATACAGTGGGGAATACTGCAAGAGAAATTCCACATTCGGCACCACAAATCCTCTTGACTAGTATTTTACTTTTCAAATATATTTACTTCTCCTCAAGCTGAAGGCGAGTAGTGTACATTCACACCATGCAACAATACAACATGAGCAGGCTAACATGTCTATTCAGTGAAATGAAATACCACACCGTGAGACTAGCACTAGACCCAGAAGCAATGAGGAGACATCAAGTGGCAGTGACTGTACTTCTGGAGGCTCTTCAGCTAGGAATTGTTACATCAGTGGGAAGCTGAGGACCAGCTGGATGTATCTCTGCACTGTACTCCGTGATGTAGAACAGACATAGCATGAGATACAGCAAGAGAGCATCATTACCTAGATCAAACTAATTCCATACTTTGATCTCTGGTGTTTCAACATCACCTTACTTCTTGTAATTTTTCATTTTCATTTGAACTGCTCACGCACTGGGACCACCTAAGACCTTACCAAATAGTTGGGATTCATTTTCTGTGGCTAGAGCCTGAGTTGTAATAAACACATACACAACTCCAGGCCTCTACAGAACATAGGATCGAAAGGACAAAAAATTTCCATGTATGCCTGTACTCAGGGAGTACACAACTCCACCTAGATGTACTCATCAGATATGGCTATAGCGGTATTGCCTTGCTGCCATAGTCTAGTTTCACATGATGAATCATGCTGGTGTGGGTCTGTCACAGGGACCAAAGCACTACAGAGCACACACAGCCTAAGGAGGATTCAGAAGGAAGCTCTTCTCTAGCATGAGAGAGGTACCAATGTGACACAACTTTTTGTCTTCTGAGGAATCTTTATGTTTAGGCTACAAAACTTAGCCTACTTTCTCATGGCCTCAGCAGTGCAGGGAAGAGTCTCTTCAGGATAATCCCCTGAGATTCAGCCTAAGCAAATATAGAACCAAGCAAGTCCTTGGTCTAAAGTAAGTCCACTGGCCACTACTGGACAAATCTTGTTGCCAGATTCATCAGAGAATGCAGAGTACTAAGCAGCTTGCAAAACCAGATCTTGTATATATATGCTTATCAATACAAGCTTAGCAAGTGAATTTCAGATTATTTTATTATAATTTTTGAGATACTATCACTGGCCTTTCTACTTCGTTCTTGTATAGACAGTGACTGTGGTCACTGTCTGCTTTCAGTTCAAGAGCACCTTGAATTTCAGAGCTTCAAAGGCAAACCCCTTGGCAACCGGGTTTGGTAGACAGAATTCTTCCCCCCGCCCCCCCTCACGTTGCAGAGTTGCTTACCTGAATTACTAGGTATCTCTGAGGGTCTCGAGCCATTCTAGAGAATTCAGCAGCCAGCTCCTTGAATTTTGGCCGACTGTCAGCATCTATCATCCAGCCTGGGGACAGATGAAAGACAAAAAAGTAAACAGTTAATTGTCAAGGGAAGAAGTTTTTAAAAACGCCCAAGTTTGAAGTGGAAAGATGTCTTTGGTAACTCTGGCCTAAAGAAAAGATGCAATAAAACGCCCGGTAGAATGGAAAGCTACAACTCTATGATGCACGGATTTCTTAATTTGCTCTGAGCGCCCGTTCCCCATCCCCAAAACAGCGACAGTGACAATGTCTTGCCATTTTCTGTGTCTATCTTGCCCATTTAGATGTCAGCTCTGTCCTTTATTATGGATGTGTCCAACCTCTAATATAATAAATCTGATCTCATCTGAGCCTAGTGGGTTTATTACAAAGTTACCACTAAATACAATTTCACTTTAACTGACCTACTGTTCCAGAGTGACTCAGATTAAAAAGCGCTGTTCGACAGACCTACAGGGTGACTGACCTCGCATCCACCTTTTGGGTAACTCTGCATTCCTGTGTCTGCATCACTAACACAGACCTCACACAAGCATTAGATGCTCTTGCAATTGAGCAAGTGTGGTTCTTTTGTCCTTCGCTCTCCAAGACACATTCATTAGGAACAATTCTCAATCCCTGTTAACGCAAGCCAGTAGGATAGGCAGTCACCACCAGCAACTAGTTCATCTCGGTGTCAGCTTTTTCTAATGGAAGATCCTATCAGCAGCTTCTCAAGATGTTCTTTGCAGTCCTTATCTCCTTCATGCCACTTAACTGAAGAAGCGACCAATGCAGGAAAAACAAAACTACTATAGCTTATAAAGAATTCCACACAAACATTACAGAACTAAGTCTGCACGTCTAGCTGTGACTCTCCGTCTTCGAGAACACCCCATCTGCTAGGACTTCCTTCATCCATTGAGATTTGTCTCATACTCATCAGAAATCCTACCAGATGGACGATTTTTGCACTCGAACGACATGAACCCCTTACTGCCTGACCCAGCCGGTTTCCACACCTGCAAGTACAGTACAGCTCTTTTCAGAAGACACGATATTTACCTCTTCTAGTTTTATTTTCTTTTACTGTTTTTGTGTACAAAGCAAAAGAGAAAAGACCATAAAAGATGGACGAGATGTCTGTATGTTAATCTCACTTAAATTAAGTCAGAAACACCAGAGAAATGTTTCTAATTCTTTTTAAATTAGAAGCATAGCCTTGGAGGATACTGTCACTACTGTGGGAATCCTGGAGACAAAAGGGTAAAAAGAAACCATGTGCAGACTCTTCTCCTTTTTTGCTAAAGTAAAAATATTCATGAATTATTGTACTGGACTGAGAATGATAAAAAAATTGTCCTCTCCGTAGCATTTATTGTATTAGTTTAATTTTACTTTTTATTATTACTATTGCAATCATTGTTCTTGTTACTTACAATAAAACATCCACGCTTTCTTTACTCAATATTTGGAATCAGCATTTCTCCTGACAACCTTCACTGTCTGGGTATCCATGTACCATAATTATGTTTAACACTATCTTTTTTTAACATCACGATCAATTGTCATGGAAATGACAAGGGTTTACAATAACAATCATACAACTCTGACTTCGCAGCAAGAATATCAGATACCATCTGACAGTAATAAGAAGCTGAGCTAACTCAACCCTTCGTGGCTAAATTCATATCTTTGGCAATTGCAAAAAATGCGCATACAGTATTTAAATGGAATTTCCAGTATCTTGGGAAGCTTTTGTTTTGAAGCAGCCTGCCCTATTACGCAGCGCTGTCAGAGATTATAGATGCAAACGTTCTAAAGTAAGAGTCCCTCTTGCACTGAGCACAGCAATAGTAAAAGTGACAATTACTTACACTTCACCATCACCATATAAACATCAATAGTGCAGATCGGAGGTTGGGGCAGCCGCTCTCCCTTCTCCAAGAGGTCGGGGATCTCTCGTGTTGGGATTCCATCATACGGCTTCCCCCCAAAGGTCATAAGCTCCCAGATAGTGACTCCTAGACAGAAAAAAGGGTGTTAATATTTGAGGTCGTACTACTCAGAGTCCTTCACAACTCCTTACAGCACAATATTCTGATCCAGTTCTGGGCTGCAATCTCTTCTTCATTAGCAGTGCCTGCAAAAACACTGAGTTTGGTTTGTCATTTAAAACACTCAGGAAAATGGTGAAACAGCACTCTGTGTTAATCTTCGAAAGCCACTTCCCTCATTTTTACTGGGGTAAGAAGTGGCGTGACAGATCTGAGGCAGAACAGAAAGGGCTAAGACAAATAAATGGTGGCAAAGTAAATGGACGCAGTAACGAAAGAATGCATCGTGCTCTTTTATTATATCAAAAGGGAAAATGAATGGCTAATGTACTCTGTTATTTTAAGGGGAAAAACCACAGATATTCCCTAATTTAGAGCATCAATTTCCCACACAGGTACAGCAGTGAGTAACATCATGTCATTGCGTTTGCCTTTGAAGTCATTCACAGCCACTCGTATTATTTTTTTCCTTATCTCACCTTATGGATTTGAGTTATGATAGTGCTGTGCTTCAAAATCAAGATTCTCTTTTTGAATCGCCATAGAATTTGTTTTGGCATTGGAGCTGGAAATAAAGATCATACATCACAAGTAACAGAATTCGCCTCCAAACAAAATCTTCAATATTGAAAATGCTGCTCTCACACGAGTTTCTTTAACTTTTATTTAACTGCACAGGTCATTTGAAACAAGCCTTCAGATGAGTAACCATATTTTGCCAGCTGCCATGCTAATGTAAAAGGTGATGGGCAAAATTACCGTATGAATAAAGCACATATTTATTTTACCCTCATTCACCTTTTGTTTATGTTCAATAACCATAACCTGACAACTGTTTTTGGTCCCATCCTCTCCAATTATAGGTATATTTTGGGCTTCCTGCATGTAAAATGAATTTCATAAATAGAGGCACGTTTTCCAAAGTGATACAGGGTATAAAGAATTTGAGCAGAAAGAGCAGCTTTACACAATTGATTCAACTCTCACGTTTTTCTCAGCTGAATAGAAGAGGGCAGCTACCCAGTCACAGCAAACAGTGTCTTCTGCTGCTACCCACAGGTAAAAGTGAGTAATGAATAGAATCGTACATTTTTTTATTTCAAAATGATATGGCAACAGGAAATGGAAACAGGAGTCCATAGCCCTAGATACTACTGAAAAATTCTACTTGCAAAAGATATATATGATTTTATTAGTATTACCACTACTAAATGAACAGGCAGACAGCTCAGCAGATGTGGCACAATAGCTCGTCTGGATAACAGAATTAACAACAGTAAATGAACATCTCGTTTCTGAAATGTGACTTTTTTTTTGGTGTGCGTGGAATCCACATGAGCTGATCTGTCTAACCAGTTCCCAAGTTATCTGTGAAATTAAATGGATGTTCATCTCTTTCTTTTCTTTCTTTTGCTGTATTTGCTCTGTATTATGACAAATTCCCTTTTATCTGACTGTAGGTACTGAAAGTCCCATAAGCCTGAAAATGTTTTTTGACATTCATGGCTTTTAGAGTTAAGATTTTCAAAGGACTGCTGAAAATTATGACCTGCAGCTGTATTTTTATGAATCTGCGGCTGAGCTGAAAAAGGCCTTCTTCTGTCATAATAATCAGCCAAACTGCTACCAGACCAGACCTTATGGCAGTCATCCCAGCAGGGACAGCATGATAATGTATTTTAGTGAGTGGGGAAGTAACGCAGGAGACAAGTAACAATTGCTGTTTAGAGTTACACAGTGTTAGGAAAATAAAAAGTAAAAAGAAAAAAACAGCAAAACCCACTGGAATTAACTCCTCTAGGAAAAGAGGGTATCTTTAACACAGTAACACAACTTGGTTTAATGCTTTACAAGCAACAAATTTTTAGACTCATCACATGAAAATTTACCATAGCTCCAAACATCACTCTGATGGGTAAACTTCCTGTAGTGTATGCACTCCAGAGCCATCCACTTAATTGGCATCCAGGGAAAGACAAATGAAATGTAATCTTAGAAATACAATATTAAAACAATACAGATGGATCCTGTATGCAGGCATCAGATTCCTCCCCATTTCCTTTTTCAACTGCAAGCTTAAAAAAAAAGCAGCACTACCCACCAGAGGAAAGGGTTGTTCCTGCCCTCCAAAATGGGGCTTTGCCTCATACAACATACAGAGGTGAGAAATATGAATCAGTTATCTGCAGAACTTCTCATACCATCCAAATTTTACTGATTCAGATGTAGTGGAACAACTCACCTTTTTGTCATAATCGTGTAAAGACAGGACCAATGCAAAAATTACATCCAATCCCCATAAATCTGAACTGCAGCAGAGAAGGTGCAATATAGAAGCTCGTTCAGCACAGTTTGCAAAACCAGACACTGCTATCTCGATTGCCCTCTAATGAGGCTAGTTAATAATGCAGTGTCCATAATACTTCACAGTCCACATCATCAACATCAGAGTAAACAGGCAACAGGGAGAATTTGCAGTGCTTTAATTCTAATTCCTAATATTCGTTAGAAACTTGGCCTTCCCAGTTCTCTGTATCATTACTGCAGTGAGAAAAGTTGCTCCCAAAAGCAAGTCAAAAGTCCCAAGTCAGCCTTTGGTTCTGAATCCCCTTCGAGGGGAGCTCATCTCTTCTGACAGAGAAGGGTGTGTAGACAAACACAAAGCCAAGTCTGCCATGAGAGCTTCCCCTCTTGAGTTCACGCTAAAACGAGATTCACAGTGTTTCCTATTCCTGAGCTGCGCTCACGAGGCATATTCTTGTAGTCTGGTAATTTCTAATGACAGACACTTAATAGATTTTTACCTGGCATGGACTTGTATGGGTCACCTCTAATCTGGAACTATGGAAGATGTACTGGAATAAACCAGACACACACGCAACTGCACATAAAATCTGAAAAGATGGTGGGTGTAAAAGCAGAGGATGTGTCTTCATTCAAGCTCTTTTAAAAATACCTTCCATGAAGTCGACTAATGAACATTACCTATACAGTTATGGCAAAAATAGCACTCTTTCATAAAGGTTGGCTTAGCACTTGCAAAGACAGTTCATACTCCCCCACTAAACTGAAGAAATTTATTGCTTTCATTACCTAAAATATGACTGGGTCATTCCGAACTGGAACAATTGCTCAAGGAGCAGAGCTGTATTGTTCATCATGGGATAACTCAGGTTGGAAGGGACTTGAGGAGGTCTCTAGTTCAACTGCAGGCTCAAAGCAGGTTCAGCTATGAGATCAGACCGAGTTACTCAGGGCTTTATCCAGCCTGGACTTGAAAACCTCCAAGGATGGAAACTGTACCACCTCCCTGGGCAACCTGATCAACTGCTCAATTGTTCTCACGGTGAAAAGTTTTTCCTTTTATCCAGCCTGAATCTGTTTTAGCATGCTCTCTATACAACTTTGAGCTGCAAATATCTTCTAGATTTCACAGGATGCATCTCTGGAACTGGAAAGCTACACATTTGATGCATAAATCCTGCTCCAGAACTCCTAGCAGTGTGACTGGTCTCACAAGTCCAAGACACCATCTAACAGCTGCCAGAGAACAGCTGGTTTGCAAGGACTGGCTTATTTTCTGTCATTCACTGGCTGATGGAGGGAAGAGGCAGAGGGGTTACTCAGGAGGGGATTAGAGAACTGAATGGATCAGGAAAGGCTGCCAAAACTCCACCTTCCCTGCCAGGAGGTCTCTTTACTGGAGAAGTGGGAAAGCACCGGTGACTCCTTTCAAGCTCTTCACCTCATTGACTAAAATGCCGATGTAATCCATGCAACAGCTGCCAAGGGCAGCAGCCACACAAATAAAGCAGCAGCCCATCCCGGAGAAAAGCACACACTGACAACAGCTGTTTGTCCCAGACAAGGGCATAAGCGAGCACAGAAAAACACAGATAGCAAGTAGATTGAAAGTAAACTGAACATTCAGAAAAAGGAATGACAGGAGAGGCAGAACCTCCTGGGATTTTGTGACAGGTTGAAATGTGAAGTTTCAAGATGTTTAGGGAGCAGCCAGCAGAAGTATGCACATACAGCCTTCGGAATTTTATAATGCATTATTCTGAAGGCATTAGAAACGGGGTGAAGCACCGTATGGGTGTTCTGTGGTGTGCTGAAAAGCAGTATGGGAAAATGGTTTCAAAATTATCCTCAAGCAAGCTTTTTAGTGGCCTGGCACTCAGCATGGTATTGGAGACCTGAATGCAAGAAATAGCACATGTACAATCTTCCAGTGTAATAGAAGAGGTGGCTCTTTGCTGAGCGTATGTAAACTCTCACATACTGCAAATATCAACATGTCCTGTGGCCTTCCTTTTTTTTTTGTCTTCTGGAAAATTACTTGTCTGGGAAAACGGTACTGCACGTTATTGAGGTCCATACT